CTTTTGATATTGACCAAATACTTATTTTCCACCATAATTTGCAAATAAATTCTTTCCAAATCAGCCAATGTGATTGGATTTGTTTTCTCATTTTGTCTCTCATAGTTGAGGTCTACCTATGATGCCAATTACAGGCCTCTCTCATCTTTTTAAGTGGGAGAACTTTCACAATTGGTGGCTGACTAAATACTTTTTTGCCCCACTGTACATACAACATTGAAATATAAAGTGCTTGAAAAATGTATACACAAATTTGTGTATATAGTGAATCCCAAATGCTGGATATACAACAACTAAGTGACCAAGTGCTCAAACAATAAATAAAACAGAAATATATGCAATATATCAATATGTGCAAAATTATCAATGATAAAAGTCCAATAAATGTGCAAAAAAGCAATCAAGGTGCTTCACTGCTCCGGGGCATGCAACTTAGTGCAGTGTGTGTGCACACTATATCGATATGGTTTCTTTCACTGGCTGCAATGGCCTTTCACCTCAAACCAGCAGCCCCAAAGGACCAATGCGCTTTATGGATCCCCCTGGATCCTTCCTGAGTAGGCACTCTTTGTTACCTGATCTCCTGGGTCTTTTAGCCACACTGGCCCCACACAGCAACACAGGTCTCCCTTCCTCTGGATAGGTAGGTAGGTGCCCTCACAAACGCCAACTTACATGTAGCTCATGAAAACAAAAAAAGAGATTCTCCATAGTGCAAAAACCGCGTTTTATTCCATATAAGTAGCTAAAATGCCAAAGAAACACTCACATTTTGTTGTACATTACAAGCCTTCACACCACATGTAATGGTGTATCTGCATGGCGTTCTGCCGGATGTACATCACCACGTTGTTGACGCGTTGCGTCACGTATACACGTGACTTCCTCAGAACCTTGGACCACGTGCAGGGGCGGACTGACCATATGGAAACTCAGGCACTGCCCGAGGGCACGGGGTCAGTAGGGGGCCCCATGAGATGCCCCTGGTACCTTTTTCATAGGCTTTTTTGAGTTTGGGCAAGGACACAGGGGCCCCATCATCCCCTATTGCCCAGGGGCCCCATGAGGTGTCAGTCCGCCCCTGACCACGTGTATACTTAACGCAATGCTATCCCTCTATAAGCCTCATTTCAACCTTCAGCTTGTGTGGGGCAAGATAACGTTCAGGTTGTTGCACACAGGGCCGTGGATAAGGGGTACCACCAGCCCTCCTTTACGGGGTCCAGGCAGCTGGGTTAATCAGATGTGGTCAGGGAGGGTGATCGACACGGCAGGGGGCAATTACTGGATCCAATCCCCTGTATGGTTCTCTCTGCAACAGCTGAAACCTGGCTTCTTCTCTTCCTCCCACTGGATTTCAGCTGCTGCAGAGAGAGCCATACAGGGGAACAGTTCCAGTAATTACCTCCCCACCATACCCGTGCCCCTCCCTGTGTACCATACGTTTCACCCTTCTGCCCAGGCCCCCCGCAGTGCTACCGGCTCCCCTCCTCTCCTTCCCACCAGCAGCTGCAAGCACACAATAGGATCGCTCAGGATGGAGAGTGGGGGAAGGGTCCTGTATGTATGTCACATTTACCAGCCTCTTCCTTTCCTGAATGAACACAGCGAGTGATCGGAACCTATCACTCACTGTGCTCATTCATAAATGAAGCATAGTAAACTGTTTTTTTTTTTTTTTTTTTAGGCGGGACCCTGTCAGGTTAGCTGTATGAGGCCCCGTGGTTTCCAACAGCAGCCTTGGTTGCACAGGCAGAATATAAACCGTTTTCAATCACTTTTGAAAGCATACATGAACAGAATAAAGAGGCGAGCTGATGCGTATGTCAGGGACCATCCTGTAATGTGGATGAGGGATACACAGATGCCAGTGACAGCGGTGTGGCAGGCGAATGGACAGGGGAAAACAGAATCACAGAGCCCTGGGCACCGGCCAGGAAGGGAGTTGTCAGAGACGTTACAATGCCATGGCACAATGCCCACAGCAAGCTACATCTGAGCTCGCAGCCGCCTGATCTATTACCTACTTGGAACGGTGGCAAAGAGCTGGTTGGTGATCTGCAGTGCCAGGCTCACCGTGAGAGCTTTCATTGTGCCTCTCTCATCACCTTTGAACTCTGGAAGGAGCCGGTGTAGAAATCAGAGCAGAGCACTTCAGACGCCTCACATCACTCGATTGCCGACGTGTCCCTTCCCCAAAGAATCTTGGATGGAGCCATGAGAACGTTTGGTTCGCTCAGCAAGTGGATGGTTATAGTCCATGTGGGTGAGATCTCTGCGTCTTGTTCCCAGACCTTGCAGCCATAAAAAGAGGGGAGGGAGAGGTGCTCCGATTTACCGGATACTACTGAGGCTGCTGGGAGATGTACTGTGTATGACTAGTGCCTATGCATGACTGTTGAGGAGGTTCCAGCAGTCACTCTTTCAAGTACAGATCATCTATGGCATCTTGTAGGTTTTTTTTTTTTTAACCACCACCCATCTGGCTATTGTATATAAACAGCCAGACGGTCGCAGTGCAGGGGCAGGTGGCCATTTATGCGCGCTGTGCGCGCTGCCTGGGAGCGCACAGCACCGCGATCCAGTGCCTGCTGTGTCCTCCTCCGAACACAGTGGAACATCGATTGTCAGACATGACCTCCATGCGAATCAGTGTTCACATGAATAGCAGTAAGCAAGATGTCACTTCTGACAACATTGCTTACTACGTGTGAAATCTATGAATGATCACAGAGGTCACATGGTACAGGACTATTCACAACAGCCTTGTACCATGTGACAAGCTGTGACCAATCACAGCTCGCACAGTATTTCCCAATGGCTGCAAGAATGCAGCTAGAGAGGAGGAGGAATGCTTTTGCTTTTACAGCCTTTATGGGTGTAAAAGCAATCGGTGTAAAAAAAAAAATCTTCATCACCCCCCACAAGTAGTACAGTGTCCATGGTAACACTGTACTGCTAGGGTGACAGTATGTTAAAAAAAAATAAAAATATTAATCTAAAATAATAAAAAAAGTAAAAATTTTTTTTTTAAATTATAATTTTAGTTATAAACTAATTTGGGTTATTTTTTTTTTTTTTTTTACTAAAAAGATAACGGAATCAATTTTGTCCAAGATTTATGATGAAATACTATTTATTTGCAAGATTTTATAAGAAAAACACTTTTTTCAAAATTTTTGGACTTTTGCATTTACATAGCAAAAAAAATAAAAATCCCAGTGGTGAATAAATACCACCAAAATAAAGCTTTATCTGTCTCAAGAAATGCTAAAAAATTCATATGGGTACAGTGTTGCATGACCGCGCAATTGTCATTCAAAGTGTGATAGCACTGAAAGCTGAAAATTGGCCTGGGCAGGAAGGGGGTAAAAGTGTCCGGTCTGGAAGTGGGTAAAGGGATGGGGCCTGGTTGACATACCGAAAAGTGGAACATTATGATAACATTAAAAGGAACCTGTCAGAACACAATCTGAAAGCATATATGTGCTCGGTTCTAACTGCCAAAGGATCTGCCATTCTGTACAGCCCATCTTGCGATTCCCCTGCCAGGTACCACCGTGAGGTCCTTGATGTTCACAGAAGCATAACTTGGTCAAGGACACACCTCCAGCTTGCTGATTGGTCAATGAAAAAGCAGCGGTAGAGTGCTCGGTCATTATGTGGCTCATTTTGCACTCTCCTCCTGCCAGCGTGTTCCGGGTCAACACCTGTGCACCCTGGCATGACTTGATTGGCTCATAGTCCATCCCTTGCTCAATGTGAGTGCAGTTGTGCAGGGGGCCTTTGTTTGCATGAAAATAAAAAAATACATTTTATGATATTTCTAATGCATGGGTTGTCTTTTTGTGTGATTGGTCGAAAAGTCAGCACAGAGCATGACATCAAATTACATGCATCCCCTGTAATAGATCCATCTATGTGTGGTGTGTGGGACTACAGCTTTTCTAAAGGCGTCAAGACTCCTTGGGTGGTTATAGTAAAAGGTGAGCCCTCCCCCTTTAGCAGTCAATTTCAGCAGGTAGTGGTAAGGCATAATACAAATCAGGGCAATGTACAGACGTCACATGGAGATTATTATTTTTTTCTCTTTCAACAACATATACACTCACCAACCACTTTATTAGGCACACCCGCTCAGTTGCTTGGTAACGAAATTGCTAATCAGCCAATCACATGGCAGCAACTCAATACATTTAGGCATCTAGATGTGGTGAAGACGACTTGCTGAAGTTCAAACTGAGCATCAGAATGGGGAAGAAAGGGGATTTAAGTGACTTTGAACCTGGGAATGATTGTTGGTGCCAGACGAGCTGGTCTGAGCATTTCAAAAACTGATCTACTGGGATTTTCATGTACAACCATGAGAATGGTCTGAAAAAGAGAAAATATACAGTGAGCTGACCCCGCTCTGTCATGTGACGTGGCCTACCACTTGGTGGCTGAGTTGCTGTTGTTCCCAGTTGCTTCCACTTTGTTATAATACCACTAACAGTAGACCGTGGAATATTTAGTAGATAGGAGATTTCACGGATTGCACAGGTAGCAACCTATCACAGTACCACGCTTGATTTCACTAAGCTCTTGAGACCCATTCTTTCACAAATTTTTGTAGAAGCAGTCTGCATGCTTAGGGGCTTGATTTTGCACACCTGTCACCATGGAGGTGATTGGAACACCTGAATCCAATAGTTTGGAGGGCTGGCCCAATACTTTTGGCAATATAGTGTATTTACTATGCAGGAAGAAAAGAAAAGAGTTGGATGCTCCAAATAGTATAAATTCTAGATTGTAAGCTAGAAAGAGCAGGGCCCTCGAACCCCTCGTGTATTGTATTGTTACTGTCTTGTCTCATGTTCTGTCCCCCTTGCTACTGTACAGTGCTGTCAAATTCAGGTACCCGCTCCCCCTCCCTCCCCAAAGGTCAGCAGTCATCTCCTGTATTGTCCGCAGTCTCTGGTCATCCCTGTGCTGTCCGCAGTCTCTGGTCATCCCTGTGCTGTCTGCAGTCTCTGGTCATCCCTGTACTGTCCGCAGTCTCTGGTCATCTCCTGTACTGTCCGCAGTCTCTGGTCATCCCCTGTACTGTGTCCGCAGTCTCTGGTCATCTCTCTACTATGTTTGCAGTCCACTAGTTCAGAATTTTTTTTTTCCTGTTTTCTGCCTCTAAAACCTAGGGTGCGTCTTATGATCAGGTGCGTCTTATGGAGCGAAAAATACGGTATATATATATATATGTTGTGTGAATATTTTATGCCTGCTGGGCTTTGTGGTACTTTAAGAAATCCTTGCTTGGGAGGTGTCTGCTCACATGCACTGACCCCCTCCCATCTTACCAACTTGAGACAAAGGAATGTTTTTCTTTCTGTGGATAAGACCTGGAAGAAGATCACACCTATGCTCTAAGGAAGGTTGTTTTCGTGTGGAAATGACCAAAGACTGATATAATGCTTACACTGTTCTCACATGACTCTTGCATCATTTTGCATATATAAGCTCACTTTCTAATTATAATAAACTAGAAGTGTTCATAGACTGAACTTGTGTGTCAGCGTGAGTCTCTTCCAGTGTGCGCACATTCCAAAGCTAGCTAGCAAAGAATAATTAGGACAGGAGCAGATAATCAACGGACATTTTAGTCCTCATCTAAATCAAAAAGACATATTAGCTGCTGGAAGGAATTACTGCATGTGGTGGAAGAAACAGGTATTTGACTCCTTCAACTGGTTGAATACTTGCAGAGGCCTGGGCAGCAGCAAAAGGGTTGCTGTTCAAAACCCAGGTGGTAGGAGAGATAAGTAAATCGCTTCTTCTAACCGGTATGCATTTAAATACACAGGTACCTTTGGTAACTCTTACTGAGAAAGAAAACTGGTAGAATTGCTATAATGTACTCAGAAGGGAGTACTCCTTGGAGGAGACCTGTGATGACAGTAGTTGTAGACCTTGTTAAGGTCCTAGGCTGCTGCCTCCCTGATCATCACACAAACACTATTCTGAAGATCAAAACCTGCCTGGTTGGAAGCCTCTAGTAGGAAATGTTCATCTCGCCACAGTTATGGCCCAAAATATTGGCACCCCTGCATTTCTGTCAGATAATGCACCCAGAAAATTGTTACAATTACAAATGTTTCAGCATTCTCATGTTTATTTCTTTTGTTTGTATTGGTATGACACAAAAAAAGTGGAGAAACAAAAAGCCAAATCTGACATATTCCACACAAACCCCAAAAATGGACTGGTCAAATTATTGGCACCTTCTCAAATTTGGAAGAAATAATTATATTACAAGGTTGTGATGCTCCTGCAATTTGTAATTAAACTCACCGGTACCAATAAACAGATCCTAATGTTCCTGTGTCCACTGTGCGCAACATTATCAAGAAGTTTACAGCCCGAGGCACTGTAGCTAATCTCCCTGGACGTGGACCAAAGAGAAAAATGATCAAAGATTGCAACAAAGGATTGTTCTAATGGTGGAAAGAATCTCGATAAACTTCCAGACAAATTCCAGCTCACCTCAGGTACAGGGTACAACTGTGTCAGCTCGCACTATACGTCGCCATCCGAATGAAAAGGGACACTATGGTAGGAGACCCAGGAGGACCCCACTGCTGACACAAACATAAAAAAGCCAGATTGGAGCTTGCAAAAATTTACCTGAGGAAGCCAAAATCCTTTTGGGAGAATGTGCTGTGGACAGACAAAACACAATCCCAGCTTTTTGGTAAAGCCCATCATTCTACTGTTTTAAGAAAAAGCTTTAAGGCCTTTAAAGAAAAGAATCCAGTCCCTCCAGTCACACATGGTGGGGGGTCACTGTTGCTTTGCTGCTTCAGGCACCGGATGTCTTGATCGTGTGCATGGCATTATGAAATCTGAAGACTACCAAAGAATTCTGGGGTGCAATGTAGGGCCCAGTGTCAGAAAGTTGGGTCTCTGTCAGAGATCATGGGTCTTACAGCAGGACAATGACCCAATGCACATGTCAAAAAGCCCCCAGAAATGGTTTCAGACAAAGCGCTGGAGAGGACTGAACTGGCCAGCAATGAGTCCAGATCTCAATCCCATAGAGCTCCTGTGGAGAGATCTCAAAACAGCAGTTGGGAAAAGGAACCCTTCCAATCCGAGAGACCTGGAGCAGTTGGAGAAAGAAGAGCGCTCCAAGATTCCAGTAGAGAGGTGGAAAAAACTCCATTGATGGTTACAGATAGCCAGTGATTTCAGGTATTTTTTCCATGGGGTGTGCTATCAAATATTACATTGAGGGTGCCAATAATTTTGTCCAGTCCATTTCTGGAGTGTGTCAGATTTGGCTTTTGGTTTCTCCACTTTTTTTTGTGTCATACCAAAACAGACAAAAGAATAAACACGAGAATGCCGAAACATTTGTAATTGCAGCATTTTTTCTGGGTGAAGTGGTGCATTATCTGACAGAAATGCAGGGGGAGACAAGATTTTTGGCCATGAGAACATATTGAACCCAAATCTCAGATACACCAAAGCTTTTAGGGAAATCAACTCCCTTTTCCTTGGGGCTTACATGTAAGAAAACAATAAGATTATACAATGGTAATTCTTCGTGTTATACCGGAAAACCCTTATTCCCAACTGCGGGCTGAGGACCACATTTGACACTTGCTGTGCCCTGGCCCTTTGATCTCAGCCGTCAGTAGTGGTAGCATTTATATGTAAAGAATCTATAATGACAGCAGCAGTCTAATGGATTATGTCCCCATCCTCTATCACCTGTACTGTGTCTTGTGTCTCCTGCCACCCCAATGTTCCAGTCTTTGTATTACTCCCTCACCCTCTAAAATACATACCAGCATCCTCACTCAAACCAGTGCTGTGCCCGTCTACAGCTCTCTTCCTTCTCACAGGACAGACAGGCAGCAGCAGGAGCCCTTGGCTCATACTGCTGTCAATCAAATCCTGTAAGGAGGGAGCAGGCGGTGGGGACTGAGGCGCACTGTGTATGTTTATATGGACGCACACAGCCCAGCTCAGGAGTTAGCCTGCATGTGTGGTCCTATAGCAAACAGCTTCCTATGGTGGCACACCATATGGAGACGCTGAGAGCGCTGGCAGGGACCCCAGAAGGAGGAGGATCAGGGCCACTCTGTTCAATACCATTGCAAAGCAGGAAGGTATAAACCTGTTTATTATATTAATAATGAAAAACAGCCTTTGCAACCCAATTAGTGTGTGCTATTTTCCGAACACATGTTGTGTTAGGGCAGTTCATTCATTCTGAATGAGGCTCCAACACAAAAAAAAACTTGACTTTTTTGTTTAACACATCGCATGGTTCCCTATCTGTATCTTGCAGTGCACTACACAGGGGCGGACTGACCTATTGCCCGGGGGCCCCATAAGCTGTCAGTTCGCCCCTGGCACTACATCACATGGTGCGTTGGCCAGGTGCATTGGGTTCATTTATGCAATACAGTGCATTATGGTAGCGCTTGCTTTTACAGTGTGTGACCGCAACGCACAGATGTGAAGCCGGCTTTTAGGCTGTGTTCACACTTCAGCTGAGCGTCTTTTGGTTATTTTGCAGTTTTTGTGTTTTTTTTTCTTTTACCCTTTTGTAAAGGTGTTTAGCAGGCATCTATTGAATGTTTTTTTTTTTTTTATTATTATTATTTGTGGCTAATGTAAAGTTAGTTATTAGGGAAAAAACACATGCGATGCGTGTGCTTGAACACGTTTTTTAGGCTCTCACATTGTCTACTGGGGCCACAAGCTCATGTACTGTTTAGGGCTTCAAATGACACTACGCACAGGTATGAACAGTCAACTGAAAACCATGGGATTTTGGATGTTGAGTGTTTTGGAGCTTTGAGTAACAAATCCCTCCGGTCTGAATGGGGCCCCAAGGCTTTTGAAGCCAATAAAAATGCTGCCATGGCTGACCATTTTAAATGCTAGTTCCGTGGATTAGATTTGAATATGTTATTAGCAGAACAGAGACCGATCTCAGCGACAACAGAATACAATAGACACACTCCTATTAAACAGGACTACTTTATACAATGGTATCAAAAGGTTTCGAGACTAGCTCTGTTTACAAGAAAGTATTTTAACCACTTCCCGACCGGCCGTTGCATATAAACGGGCGGACGGTGGCAGTGCAGGGTCGGGTGGCCATTTATAAACAGCCTCCCCGCATCCTGCTTGTGCGCGCTCCCTGGGAGCGTGCAGCACCACGATCCGGTGCCCGCTGTGTCCTCCGGATACAGTGAAACACTGATCGTCGGACGGGACCTCTGTACGAGGTCCCGATCATGTGATCACTGATTGGCCAATCAGTGATCACATGCAAAGTAGTAAGCAAGATGTCACTTGTGACATCATTGCTTACTACGTGTGAAATCTGTGAATGATCACAGAGGTCACATGGTACAAGGCTATTCACTACAGGCTTGTACCATGTGACAAGCTGTGACCAATCACAGCTCACTCAGTACTTCTCAATGAGTGCAAGAGTGCAGCTAGAGAGAAAGAGAAATTATTGCTTTTACATCCTATATGGGTGTAAAAGCAATGTGTAAAAAAAAAAAAAAAAAAAAAAAATCTTCATCATTCCCCACAAGTAGTACAGTGTAACCATGGTGACACTGTACTGCTAGGGTGACAGTATGTAAAAAAAATAAAAAATATATAAAAAAAAAATAAAAATGTAAAAAAAAGATGTTTAAAAATTATAATTTTTGGTTATAAACTAATTTGGATTTTTTTTTTTACTAAAAAGATAACGGAATAAATTTTGGCAAAGATTTATGATGAAATATTATTTATTTGCAAAATTTTATAAAAAAAACCACTTTTTTTCAAATTTTTTGGACTTTTCATTTACATAGCAAAAAAAAATAAAAATCCCAGCGGTGAATAAATACCACCAAAATAAAGCTTTATCTGTCTCAAAAAAATGGTTAAAAAATTCATTTGGGTACAGTGTTGCATGACCGCGCAATTGTCATTCAAAGTGTGATAGTGCTGAAAGCTGAAAATTGCCTTGGTCAGGAAGGGGGTAAAAGTGTCCGGACTGGAAGTGGTTAACTATGTTTACACACTATCACCTTCAAAATAGTTCCATTGCACAGCAATACAGTGCACCCAGCCAGGGCCGATGATAAGGGGGTACCACCAGTTCTCCTGTATGGGGCCCAGGCTAGCAGGGGGGCCCAGGCAGCTGGGTGAATCAGATGTGGGCAGGGATGATGAACTGATCCCCTGTATGGCTCTCTCTGCAGCAGCTGAAACCTGGTTTCTTCTCCTCTCCCTCCCGCTGGCTCTCAGCTGCTTCAGAGAGCCATACAGGGGATCGGTTCCAGTAATTGCCGCCTTCCACACCCATCAGTGTATGTTTCCCCCTGCTGCCCAGGCCCCCCTGTATGCCCCCACAGTGCTGCCGGCTTCCCTCCACAGGTTGCTGCAAGCACACATTAGTATCCTTCAGAATAGAGAGTGGGGGGAGGGTTCGGTAAATATGTCACATTTACCAGCTCCTTCCTTTCTTGAATGAACATAATGAGTGATTGGTACCAATCAATCCTTGTGTTCATTCATAACTGAAGCATAGTAATTTTTTTTTTTCTTGGAGGGAGGGGGGGGGCCTGTTAGGTTGGCTGTATGGGGCCCCATGGTTTCTATGCTCCCAGCATTCCTGCCCCTTCTAAAATGTGTCCTGGAAGTCTTCTTTTTGAAGCGTGTCATGCACCTCCTGCTATTCGCAGTGGATTTCTATAATGTTGTCCAAATGGTGATCTTTGAGCTGGATCTTCATTTTCAGGAAGAGGGCAAAGTCCGCAGAAGCCAAATCTGGTGTGAAGAGTGGGTGTAGAAGTGAAATCATTGCAGCCTGGGGATGAACATGGCACATGTTCAAATCACAAGGGAGGATTGCCTGGACTGTTCTATAAGACTCACCAACAATGGCAGCCATGTGGTGGGTTGATTTCCAACGATCACCATGCACAAGTTGCCGCATGGTTTTAACATTTTTGGGGGTTGAGCTCATTGAAGATCTGCCTGATCTCTCATCGTCTTCCAGTGATGTCCTTCCACTCTTGAAGTGTGCGTGCGCGTGCGATACTCAAAACACCTCCAAAGACTCATTGCAACATTGCCATAAACTTGCCTAATCATGTCAAACATCTCTGTGGCAGATTTGTCCAGTTTCACGCAGAATTTCAAGCTTGCTCTTGCTGTCCATGAAGAAATAGCAGACGTGGTAATGCAGAATATGCTCTGTGTAATTGGGCAACTATGTGGCAAATGAGGTTTAATGTTGATAAATGTAAGGTTCTGCACTTGGGGGCTAAGACTATGCATGCGTCATACATACTAGGGGGTACAACTGGGGGGGTCAATGGTGGAGAAGGATCTGGGGGGGTCAATGGTGGAGAAGGATCTGGGAGTTCTGGCAGATCACAAGCTTAATAATGCCAGCAATGCCAAGCTGCGGTTTCTAAAGCGAGCAAAATCCTCTCTTGCATTAATAGAGGTAAAGACTCCAGAGAGAGAGATATCATTTCCCCGGTACAAATCATTAGTAACACCTCATCTGGAATATGCAGTTCAGTTTTGGGCACCAATTCACAAAAAGAACATTGGGGAACTGGAGAAAGTACAGAGAAGGGCAACCAAACTGATAAGAGGCATGGAGGAGCTCAGCTGTGAGGAAAGATTAGAGGAACTGAATTTATATTCTCTCTCGAGAAGAGGAGATTAAGGGGGATATGATCACCATGTTTAATACATAAGGGGGATGTGATCTCCATGTATAATACATAAGGGGGGATGTGATCTCCATGTATAATACATAAGGGGGATGTGATCACCATGTATAATACATAAGGGGGGATGTGATCACCACGTAAAATACATAAGGGGGGATGTGATCACCACGTATAATACATAAGGGGGGATGTGATCACCACGTATAATACATAAGGGGGGATGTGATCTCCACGTATAATACATAAGGGGGGATATGATCACCACGTATAATACATAAGGGGGATATGATCTCAATGTATAATACATAAGGGGGGATATGATCACCACGTATAATACATAAGAGGGGGATGTGATCTCCACGTATAATACATAGGGGGGGGGGGATGTGATCTCCACGTATAATACATAAGGGGGATATGATCTCCATGTATAATACATAAGGGGGGATATGATCTCCATGTATAATACATAAGGGGGGATATGATCTCCATGTATAATACATAAGGGGGGATGTGATCTCCATGTATAATACATAAGGGGGATGTGATCACCATGTATAATACATAAGGGGGGATGTGATCACCACGTAAAATACATAAGGGGGGATGTGATCACCACGTATAATACATAAGGGGGGATGTGATCACCACGTATAATACATAAGGGGGGATGTGATCTCCACGTATAATACATAAGGGGGGATATGATCACCACGTATAATACATAAGGGGGATATGATCTCAATGTATAATACATAAGGGGGGATATGATCACCACGTATAATACATAAGAGGGGATGTGATCTCCACGTATAATACATAAGGGGGGATGTGATCTCCACGTATAATACATAAGGGGGATATGATCTCCATGTATAATACATAAGGGGGGATATGATCTCCATGTATAATACATAAGGGGGGATATGATCTCCATGTATAATACATAAGGGGGATATGATCACCATGTATAATACATAAGGGGGAATATGATCACCATGTATAATACATAAGGGGGGATATGATCACCATGTATAATACATAAGGGGGGGGGATATGATCTCCATGTATAATACATAAGGGGGAATATGATCTCCACGTATAATACATAAGGGGGATATGATCTCCATGTATAATACATAAAGGGGGGATATGATCTCCATGTATAATACATAAGGGGGATATGATCACCACGTATAATACATAAGGGGGATATGATCTCCACGTATAATAC